GTATTTTATAAAACATATGCTAGGGGCTGAAATCAAACCGTTAAAGGATAACTTTATTTACGGTTCGCTTCAATAAATGTCTCTATGGCTTTTATGACATTCCATCTACGCCATTTTCAAACCCAAATCCCAGTTTTCCGGGAAGCTTTTTTAAAGTAAATATCCTTCAAGTTTTGAAGTATTTTTTGAACCAGGGTTTCCTTAAGCCATTGCCGGGTGAGAGATTTTAAAATTCTAAACAGTATATGGTGCTGAATATAAAAGGACACAAGATAGTATGATATGTAAGTTAAACCAAGAATTTTTGTTTATAAGGAGGATTTTGGATGCTTGCTTTAGAAGTGAATGCATAACTTTATTTTCTTTGTAGTTTTATCTATTTATTTAAGATATCAAGATGCATTGAGAGAATGTTGGCGTTATTCATAAATATGTGAAATATATTTCCTTTATCTGATTTATAAGAGAATATCTAAATATGAAGGGGAAATGATGAAGAATCGAAAACGGATAAACACAAGAAAATTCAGGAAAAATGGAAGTCTGGTAAAAAGAGTATTTGTTGCTATTGTAAAATAATTCTTAAGACATTAAACTACCGTGTGTGTTAGGCCAGCTTGACGATTCAGATTAATTCGTAACAATTTGTGTGGAAAATAAAGACAAAGATCAAAATAGCACCATAGGTTGCTGAACTTATTTCTGTGAAATTTTGTGTGGTGCTGCGATGATTCAATTTCAAATGTAAGCAAGGTATCATTTGAGTTCTTATGATAGTGGAGGAGCAGTTAGACGACAGGGAGCAGATCAAAATGTCACCACTGTTACCGAAACAATGAGAGTGTCATTTCACGATTAAGACAGACCGCTGAAAAGAGAAATGCTATGAGATAGCATCCCGGTGGAGTGAGTTTCTAGAAGCACACTCCAAGAATGTATCCCCAGTATTACATGAGTAAGACCGCATGTGCCCCCAGTAACGAAAGGGAACAGAAATGTCACTCCAATAAAGATAGCTGCAGACCTTGCACCTATTACCATTATACATGCTTTTCTCAGAAACCAAATTCAGATTGGTGTGCGCGTACGTAAACTTGTTTCATGCGGCCCGCTTTAACCATGCCATCGTCGAGAACTATTACGCTTTTGATAGGAACTTGCTGCTTGTGGTGATCAACTGTGGTCCAGTCACCGATGAATCCTGATTGTGAATACCAGATAGTGTGGAGAGAAGGGAACACGTTGTGCACAATAATAACTTCATGAACGGGATATGCATGGCCCTGGTGAACTGGTAATGGCAGGCACCAAGTGCAAAGGCTAAATACCGCTTCACATTCTTGAGCGAGGTAACGTTACATCTCCTCTAGTTTCCTTGTCGTCTGAATGTAGTTCAAAATTACGATACTGTGGAGTTGAAGATCAGGTGAACTTAGAATAGGGTCGGCTGTTTCAACGGCAGTTAAAAATTATAATATTATGCTTAGCAAGAAGCAAAAATAACCAATTTTCTTACATTCAAAACCCCTCAAGAAAATTCAAACTCACAATATTTTTTTAAAATTTTTATTTTATTCAAATTCAGATTCTGAGAAAACGTTAAAATGAATTTTTTAATTTTTACTTTGTGAAACCCCTAAATTTTTAAAACAAGTATTTTCCTACATTTTTACTCCGAATATAAATTTCTTTAAAAACTCAAATTGTTTTGTATGGCTAATCAAAACACATATTAAATTTATTGCGAACATAATTAAAAGGAAATATAAAAATTCTCTTGCAGTAAATTTAATAAGCAATAATTACTGAGCTTTGAAGTATATTAATCTATTTCAAAGAATCTTAATTTTAAATTATAAAATCAAATTATTTACCTACATATACATGAATCTACTTTTTATTTAACATCTGCTGCCAACTGTCGGGTACTTGACATTTTCCCGGAACTAGTAATTAAGACTTTCATTGACAATAACTTAAAAAACTAAATCCTGAACAACTTCCACCCTCTTTCTCATCACAGAATGGAGATTAAAACGTCAGAGGCGTGCAAGAAAGGACTTAACTTTATTTTAAAAAAATGAAGAGTGAACGGGGGGAGATTTTGGATTTACTTTTAAGGATATATAACTCGATGAAAGAATTTGAAATATAGTGATTAGGGGATAATTACACTTCAAACGGTAATTTAAAGCTTTCTTATTGTTCAATGAGGTAAATTTTTGTAGAAAAATTTGATTTATATCTGGGTACTTGAAGGTTTTATCACGTTATAGATCACGCATGTATTTCCTGTGTTTCTTAAACATCGCTCATGTACTGAATTTTATTTTTTATTTCCAATGAAGAAGGACTTGTCAACGCAGTATCATTTATTGTTTGTATCATGAAATCATTTTTTTTTAAAAAAAAAAGCATTTTTTAGTCATATTTAATATTTATTATTTAATATATTAAACATTAATTTTAATTTTAATCATAAAAATATATTTCATTATATTTAAGCTAGTTTAAAAAATTGTGAAAGAATACGTGGGTATAGGTAAAGCTTATTTTTAATTTTTTAAAAATATATAATATGTATATAATTTTAAAATGAATATATAATTTATTTTAAAATTATACGACATATGAAAGAAGAACGAGTAAACTATTGTATATATATATCTTTATATATNTTTTAAGCTCTTCCGATCAATTATTTTAGATACCCAGGTCAAAATTCATGCTGGTTCCAGCAACAAAATTATGCTAGTTTTTGCTATGTATTGCTAGGTTTGCTAGATTTTCTTGCTAGTGTATGCTTTTTTATGCTTGCCAGCATCACAAGCTAGATACCTAGCATACATCGTACTAGCATGATAAGCTATGTACAAGCATCTCATGCTTATTAGCTGTTTAAGCTGGCTCCCTAGCATGGTAAGGTAGGTACCTTAGCAAGCTATTATATGCTTTTTTATGCTTGCCAGCATCACATGCTAGATACCTAGCATACATTGTACCAGCATGACAAGCTATGTACAAGCATCTCATGCTTACTAGCTATTTAAGCTGGCGCCCTAGCATGGAGAGCTAGGTACCTTAACAAGCTATTATATGCTTTTTTATGCTTGCCAGCATCACATGCTAGATACCTAGCATACATTGTACTAGCATGATAAGCTATGGACAAGCATCTCATGCTTGCTAGCTGTTTAAGCTGGCTCCCAAGCTTGGAGAGGTAGGTTCCTTAACAATCTTTTAGATGCTTTTTTATACTTGCCAGCTTAATATACTTTACAGACAGCTTGGGCAAAAATAGCATTTTTTACTTTAATAAAATCCTTAGTGCTTGTTATAGTTATTTAAAATAGATACCTAAAACTTGTTTAAATTTTATTAATTTATTATGAAGATTATAAAATTGTTATTATGAAGAGTAATTAAATATAAAATTTGTAAAATGTAAGAATAAAAAATGCAAAACAGTTTGCTTCTTCAAAAGGTCTCTTCTAGATGGTTATGTGTTAAAAGTAAAAACCATACAGACTTATTCTTTAGATGGAAAAAGCGGTAAAAACTGATCCACTTTGCTGTTATCATTCCAAAAATATTGTTTGTGTATTATGAAGTCTCATATGAGGCAAAATTCATGCATGCTCAAAATTCAGACAGGAACCACCAACAAAAATATGCTGACTTCAAAGTCATGCTGTAATAGCAAAAGTTCCCAGCAACCCATGGTAGAATTCTCATGCTGGAATAGCAAAAATTCCTAGCAACCGATGGTAGAATTCTCTTGCTGGAATAGCAAAAATTCCTAGCAACCGATGGTAGAATTCTCATGCTGGAATAGCACAGGAAACTAGTAACTGATGGTCGTGATTGTTGCTAGTCTAGCAAGATATTCCAGCAACACAAGCTGGTATCTGTAAGCTAGACAAGTGTGCCAATACATACCATGACATGTTAGTAATTTTGCTGGTTCCAGCAAATATATTTGCTAGATCAAGCTTTTTTTTTTTTTTTTTTTTTTTTTTTTTTTTTTTTTTTTTTTTTTTTNTGCTTTTATATTGCATTTTAAGCTTGTTTAGCAAATAAATAGCAAACATTTTAACCTGGATCTAACTTTAATACAAGTTCATTATTGCTAGAATAGATAATGCATTTGAATTTGCTTCATTTAAAAACATTTTTGGGATTATATACATTCAAATTAAATATTGCATTCGCTATAATTTAACCAAAACATATTAACAAGGTTTTCTGGAAACATGGATGTTTAAGAACATAATGATATGGAATTTATTTTTTTTAATTAATTTAGGTTTTCTAACCGAAATAGCCAGCATTTTCTTGTAGTTCTATTTTAGAAATTCTAACAGATTCAAATCAATATAATACATTTATAACTGAGTCATTAAAAATAATCAGCAAAATATATAGCTTGACATTTATAGCCAAATTAATTTCTTAGGCAGTAACAGAACAAAGCCCGCGGTTTTTTACATTATATAGAATATCACGTTAAAAAAATTTAGTCAATATTGCAGAAAAATATATTCCCTTAAGATTCTTTCATTCAAATTTATGTCTGACTTTAATTTGAAGTGATGTTTCTGAGGTACAGATCAAAATTAAATTAACCTATTTTTCATGTGTGACGAGAAAAATAAAAATATAGTCCATCTTTATTACATATTGCAAAAATATTTATTTGCATATAGTGATGCTATGAAAATGAATTGAGCAAATATTTTTTTTTAATTTTACATAATGCCTTTTAATTGTGTAAAATGTGCATTTAATAAAAATTGTAAGTATTTTCAAAATGAACACACATAATTATTTCNTAAATATTTTCAGAATAAACAAACATAATTATTTTATGTAATACTTTTATTTATATAGCCAAATCTTTCAACAAAAAATAAGCAGTCAAAAAATATTTTAAAGCCACATATACGTTATCAAAAGGCAAAATAATTTTAAACACTTTACATGATCATGATGAAATAAATAGTTTCTGACAAAGAACTCTTTTCTTAACTATATTAGCCATTAAAAAAATTATCAAGAAATTTTTCGGCTTGATTTCAGAGGGTAGATAATGGAACATTATTCTTAATAAACTTTTAAATATACTTTCAAACATCAATGGCTGTAAAACAATTGCTTTTATTGATGACCTTTTAATCTGGTTGCAAAGCAAATGTTAGGACAATATTTTTTTACTGGCACAAACCATCCTAGACATTATTGTTAAATGGTCCAAAGAACAAAAACTAGATTTCAATTCGAATAAGTCTAAAATCATGGTTATCAAAAAGAAAAATAAAGACTACTCAAATCTACAACTATACCTTGATTAACCTTCTGGAATTTGTTAGTGAAATTAAATATTTGGGAGTTATTCTTGATGATAATTTGAATTGGAAAAAACATATTTCTTATTTATCAAAAAAAAAATGTGCAAATATTCTTCACAGATTGAATCGGATCTCATGCAATACTTTTGGTTTTAAGTTCAATGTTATGAGTTTAATTTACAAACAGGGAATTGTTCCTTTCATTTGCTACACATCTAGAGTATGAGGTAATGCCCTACTTAAAAAAGTATATATACATAATCTGCATAGAGTTCAGAGAAGAATTCTTCTTAGAATTGTGCGAGAATAAAGGACTATTAGCTACGATGCTTGTTTTGCTTTATTAGGTTTTCCTCCCATTGATACTTATATCTTACAAAACATGGATTATAAAAACAACAGCAACATCTCATTAAGGTCAAATTTCTCATTAACTAATCTTCCACATCCAGGTAATCGATTACCTATTGATACCATTAAAATCTGCAATAGTATTGAAAGTGATTTCCCAGTTGTTTGCTATATAGACGGAAGCAAATTAAATAACAGAGTTGGCCTGGCTTTTGTGATCTTTTGTAATAATACAGAAATTGAGAACCACCTAATTGGAATTCCTGATAACTGCAGGGTTTTCTAAGCTGAGCTTTTGTGTCTTTACCGCTCTATTAAATGGATCTCAAACAACTCATCTCTTTCACCAAAATTCCTAATCTGTTCAGATTCCCTTACATCGGTATTTGCACTTAAATGCATCACTTCTTTTAACAGAATTATTGTTAATTCGCAGATCATTTTAAATGAACTCCAATCGGAGGGTAAATCAGTGTTCTTTTCACATGTCCGAGGCTACTCCGGTGTTCTGAGTAATGAAAGAGCTGACTTTCGACTAATCTTAATTCCATTTGGGATTAAAGTCGCCCAAAATCTTTTTTTAGACTTTCAGCCAGGCATAAAGTTCAAACTGTGTGGAACAAACAATATCAAGCTTCTACAAATGCTTCACTGACTACACTCTTCTTTCCATCTGTTAATCAGACTTAAAAACCAACATTTTTTCTGCAACTTTCTGTGTGATTCGTATGACACAATTTCTCATTGGACACTGCAACTTCAAGGCATAAGATTTGGCTTAAGTTCCAGTGATCTGTGTGATTGCAAAATTGGAGAAACACAAGATTCTTAACATTTTATTGTAAAATGCTCACATAACTTAATAATTGCTTTAAATTCACTCAATATTAACTTTCCTCTCCCTTTCGTACTTTTGTGGGAAACTGAAAAGTACGCACTTTCACATTGCATTTTTTTCAGTGTTGCACGAGGAATCTTTTTGTTCTTGAATTAAAAAAAACTAGTCATTCAAATGATAGAGCTTATGAAAAAAAGGATTTTCAACTCATACGTGGGCTTCTAATAAACCATCTGAATTGTGCAGCTCCTCCAGATCTCTACACATTGAAGGAGATCACGTTTTGAAAATCTTGAGCATTATCTGGGATGACAAGGAAGACACTTTCAGAATTAAAATAAATCCCACTTCCGAAGGCAAGCTGACAAAACGTCAACTTCTTTCTTTTATTGCTAAAATTTGTGATCCTGTTGGTTTCCTGTCACTTACAACAATTCAGTCAAAAATCCTGATGCAAAAGGTTTGGAAAGAAAACCACTTGGTATGATTCGTTGCCAAACCTTATTGAAAAAACATGGTTTCAATTCAAAAATCAGATGGAACATTTAAAAGACATTAAGATTTCCAGATATGTTTCTGATGATCCATTAATAAATTTCTGATGATCCATAATAACTTCAACTAATGGGTTTCTGACTCATCTAAATGTGCATATGCTGCGGTTTTTTTATTTACAGACATTGTGTTCTTGAAAAATAAATGTTGCAATGATTACTTCAAAAACAAGAGTTGCTCCTGTAAAATCAATAACGTTGCCTAGACTGGAACTCATGGCAGCTCTTCTTCTTTCACAACTTTATGTTGCAGTTCTTGAATTTATGCAGGAAGTCATTCAAATCAAGAAAACTATTTTGTTTTCGGATATTCAAATCATTTTAAACTGGTTAAAGGCAGATCCTACTAAATTGAAAACATTTGTTTGTAATAGTATTTCCAAATTTCAAGAATTGGCATCAGAAGCAACTTGACAGAAAGTAAAAAGTCAAGAAAATCCTACTAATTCAGCTTCTAAAGTTATTTCTACATCAAAATTGAGAAATCATCTGTTTTGGACTGGACCACAATGATGGTTAAGACAAGATTACTTTAAGTTCCCATCTCTTGTTTCATAGCAAACTGAACAAGATCTAAAATGTGAAGAACAATAAGTTGTAGTTCTCAACAACATCACAGTTTGTACCAAAAACAATTACTTTTTAACAATCATTGAGAAATTTTCATCATTTACACCTCTAAATTGAATAATCTCTTGGTGCTTGCATTTTATTAACAACTGTAAGTCCACTTAAGTTTTCGGCATACTTTCATCTTGAAGAAATTGAGAGGTCCATAAAGACTTATTAAGATAAGTCAAGAATCAGAACTTTACCAGGAGTTTAATCATTTAAAAAAAAAAAAACTCCTCTCCCTAAGAACAGCAAACTCCATCAGCTAAGTATATTTTTAGATACAGAAAACATTAGTGGACGAGTAAAAAGTTCAAATTTAAATCAAAAGCACCCAATGCATCTTCCAAAAATTCATTATTTCACCAAACTGATAGTATGTATGATGATAAATGATAGATGTATTATCATATATTCAATTACATAGTGGACCTCAGCTGAAATTGTTTATCACCCAACAAAAGTTTTGGATTCCTTCTGGAAGAGATGTGCTTAGAAGAGACCTTGAAAAATGTCTGATTTGTTTCGTCTCAAGACCCAATCTGGTAATCAAGTTATTGATGACCTGGCTACAAGTAGATTCAACACTGGTAGACCATCCCTAAACATTAAACTGGACTTTGGAGGACCATTTACTACTAAACCTAATGTACCAAGAAGTAGAATCACGATAAAGTCCTATATTGCACTCTTTGAATGCTTTGCTACTAAGGCAGTGCACCTTGAAGTGGTTTCTAATCTTTCAACAGATGCATTAATTTTGGCGGACTATATAGGAGGCTGGAACTAAATCTGAAAAGCATCATCTCTTCAAGATAAGCAAAATAAGCAGTGAAAGGAAAATTCAAAAGCATAATAACTCAATCTTGTCCTCTTTCGCTTGATTGCTGAGCATAGTTTAGGCTGGGGAAGATGTTCAGTTTAGAAAACCTTTCGTCGGTAGATGGCACTTTTTAAAAACACTAGTATGATAAAACGCTAAAAATAAAATTATATACACAATTGTAGGGTGCATCTTTTTTAAATGAGCAATTTAGGCTCCTTCATTTGCCAAAATTGTGAGAACAGGCGTAAAAATAAAAGCAGTCTGGGTTAAATAACGACAAATACAGTATGAAAAACAATAAGGATAATAAAAACACATACAGAATAAAATATTTACAGTTAAAGAAGTTAGATACATATTTACAACGAATATGGGCTGATACTCGAAGAACAAAGGGATGATGAAGAGCAGGCACAACTCTTGAATCCCTGCATCACTCCCTCGCCTCCCTCCCGAAGGGCTTCTCAGGTGCAGAGTGGTGCAGTTCATCTTGAGTAATTGTTTTCCGGACAACATATCAAAAACTTAACTATCAAAAAAAAAAGGGCTTTTAAAAATCAAAAATAAGCACCTTTAAGCATTTTTTAAAAACACTGCCATGGCACAGCGTTTAAAATACAATTATGTACACAATTCATGCGATACAGGAACTTTAGAAATTGTTATGACACCGGAATTATCAACATATTCAACACACTTGCCAACTATTTCATTTGGATCAAGAATTATGAAGTTGTCTGAGATTTTCACAATATACATGTTACCTATATTTTTGTTAGGTTTTGTTACGACTTCATATTTTTGAATACAAACTACAACTTTTGTAATATTGAGGTGCAAAGCAATAAAGATTATTTTACCAAAACCTGATTGAGTATATATGAAGGAATCACTCCTTCTCAAATGCTTGTCAGACTTTGTCGAGAACAACATATTTTCGATTGTCATACGCTTAAAATATTGAATATTAGCATTTTCAGTTAAACCATTTAGGAGAAAAAAACCAGTGGGGAAATTTGTTGAACATATATCTTTAACTTGTGTATGCGGTGCTCCATATAAATTAAAATTTCCTATCTTAATAAATTTCTGAGAATGCTTTGATTTTAAGTTAATTTTCGAGATATAATTTGAAACATGAACTGGATATTTATTTAAGTTAGATATTAATTCTTGATTCAGTAAAAATCTTCTGATGGTTTGTGTTTTTACACCACGAGTGCCCATGATATATGATTGTAGAGTGGCATTATACCCTTCATAGACAAACATTGAATGGCACCAAAGTGGTCCCCAATTGGCAATACTCGTGGTATAATGAAGTAATAAATGCATATTCGATGTCATAAAATCTTCGCCATACAATAATTGTGTTTCAGTAACAAATTTCAACAATAAACAATCAACAGTTTTTAAATCATCAACAGTTATAACATTTTGCATTAAAATTTCAACAGCACCCACCAACAAACTAACATGATCCAAATATGCTTGCTTTTGAATATCTTTTATGCATGGGAAACATATAAAGAGAAGGAAGTTTTTCCATTCGGAAGCTTTATACAAGGCTCTTTCACTTATGCCTCTTGGAATTCTCCCAACATTATGCGGAAAAATAAACTTACTCATGCGGTCATTTATCAAACCACACATTGTAGGAGAACCAAGATAAAAATTGCAAGACTTATTCCGAGTGTCAAACCATGAAGACACAAGATGTTTGGTCACTCCTAAAAAAATCCCATGCATATAATCTGGTACAAAACCATTAACAATGTTGAAAGAAGGTATGGGAAGCAATACACTGGGTCCTTTCACTCCCTGTATACTTTTCCCCTTGTGCATTGCTTCAAACATTAATTTAATGGTTTCCTGCTCCCTTCGGTCCTCATAAAGTAAATGATCCTTATAACTATACTTTACAACACTATTTACAAGGACTCCAGGGTGTTTGCACCAGGTACAACCATAATAGCCATTAAATTGGGTCGAATTTTGGATGCATGGTCGTGCTACTGAATCAGCACAACAACATGCAGCAAATACCTTTATTGTATGCTTTGAGTTAGGCCCAAAAGAAATTCCATTCTCCCCAAGTTTAACAGCCTCTTCTACAAAAGGCTTCAAATACAGATCCATTTTAGGCTCTTTTTTCCCAAACCATATGCCTGCTAATAGAACATTTTGGTAACGAAGCGTAGGAGGAATTTCATTGATTACCACCAAAATTGGCCATAATGATCCTTTCGCACTGTTAAATACAGCAAGACCATCGACTGAGAAATTATACGTTAGAAACAGAGATTCATTCTCATTTCGTAATTTTTTATACAACTTTCCATGGTTTATGTCAGAAACCTGATTATGCACGTTCATACTCTTATTGAAATCTTGAATATACGGTATACTAAGTGTGCCAGAATTGATCAAATTCTTTATTTGAGCTTCAAGTGAGACACTCAGAAAACAGGATGACTTTTGTACATCACTCGTCTGAACTTTATTACCACAATTAGAACAAACTGTGATTTTCTTGTCAATATGAGATATGTAAGTGTGACATTTCTCACAAAAGAAATGAGTTTTAACAATATCTTCTTGGCTACAACTAAACATTTTCCACAAACGATACAAACTTGGACTGATGAATTCTTGCCCTATGATGATGTTCACCATTTCAATCAGACTGAGAATCGCAGTGTCTGATACCTGGTATCGCAAAGAAAAAGCCATTATCAGAGTTAAAATATCTTTTTTAGATATAGAAATTTTGAGCTGATGTTTTTCATAGAAATCTTCTTGCTGAATACCATCATCTTCCTCAACACAGTTCTGAAAATAGACAAAATATTTTAACCCATATTTATTTACAAACAATCAAACTTTAGAAAGGTTTATTGGTTGTACCTAAAATTAAACCTGTTTTTCAGCTATATTTTAATATAGCTTTGGTTTCAGTTCTTTGTGTTCCATCTATGCTTGTTATTTTGTATTTGTTGTTCATTTAACTTATTAAGACATTTTGTTAACTTGAGAGATTCCGCAGGCATTTGAAAGGTATTAAAATTTATGTATAATTTTAAAAAGTTTAAATTTCTTTCTTTTGATTTTTTAATCAATTGCCAGCAGAGCCTATGGCTAATCACTCACAATTAAGATTAATAAATCAAACCTAGTAGGCAAAAATCACAAGCTTAGTAACAGGAAACTATTGTAAATTAAATTGAAAAGTAAAGATGTTTCATTTAAAAAAATAATTGTAAGCAAAGGTTTTTATAAAATTCAGAAAATTATAATATTCTGGAATGTTTATTTCAGATAAAAATTAAGCTAAAGGTGTGAGATGACACCAAACACATTAGTTGCCAGTTAAGATAATTGGTCGCTATCTGCCCACAGGTGTACTTAATCTATCGTGTGCTCTTTTTTTAAGTATAAAATTTGTTGCTTCTGAACCGTATATTGCATCAATATGGCCAAAGCAAAATATATGGATACAATAGTGTGAGGAGCACTCAAAAATTTTTGTACGAAAATACAACAAATAAATAAAAAAGAACATAATAAGTAAAAATAAAACGTAAAAACAGAAAATAAAGAAAAAACAGAATATAACATGAAATATAAAGCGAGAAGTGATAAAAAAAGAACTTACTGCGACAAGAAACAATTTAAAAATAATTTCGTATCAAGATTGCAAAAGCGTAAATTGAGAGTAACTAAAGAAATAATGCTTTAACCCTTTATCTACGGCATTATATTATGAACTACTGAAATTTTTTTCATAAATATATTTTTTTTTAGCTACCATATTGATAACTAAAGAATATACAAGAAAGAAAATCTCCCCGGTGCGAAATTTATTTCGTTTGAACTAATTTATTAAGGTGGTACTTATAAGTACCGTCAGTAGATAAAGGGTTAAGTGCATTCTCGCTATTTTACTGAAATGCGTTTGACCTGTTGGTTACCAAGGAAGGGTCCGAAAATGGAAGTGTGCAAGGTAATATATACTAGATAATTTGAAGAAGATAAATATTTTTTTAAGAAAAAATATATGAAACAGAAAAGAGAAAGAAGCATAAATTTCCCGATCTACACAGTTTTTTTTTTTTTAATATATACACATAATTATAACAACTGATTTGCCCAATATGGATTTGCAAATGCAAAAATTACATAAATTGACAAAGGAGCTTATTGTTTCTTTTTTTTTCTTTGTGTTTTTTTGTTTTTATTTATTTTGCTATATATATATATTGTGGCATCAGCCAGATTAACTGTAACTGTGTGTTAACTGTTTAGTTTTAGTTTCAGTTTGTATTTATGTTTAGTTTCAGTTTGTGTTTGTGTATCTCGTTAAGTTGTTATTAAATGTGTTTGCGAGATGCTAGATCCTGCTCATTTATTTAATATGTACTGAAATAATACATAACAACACATATATACATATATAAACAATATTTGCACTAATTCACATTGCACTTTGTTCAACTAATATTTGCACTTCAACCTGACACCCTTGGTAAGGGGTGTCAGGTTGATTTACTACTTAATTTATGTACTACTTACGAAAACGTTTGCTTCATCTTGCTCAAAAGCATCATTATCAATATCCAAATTGTCTTCAGCATCTTGTTGTATAGCATCATCATTAATAACCATCAAAATATCTTTTTCATCAGAACATCCAGCCATGGAAATATCTTTATTCTCTTGGTTCTACAAATAGATACAAAAGAATTTTTTCTTAAACTGAAACAAGTCAGACAGCAGAAATTTTTAATTCCAGAAAACAAGTGCTCAAAAATACAATCAAAAGATTTCTTCTCCTAATTTTTAAAAAAAAAGAAATGCAAAGATTAAAAATTTTAATAAACTTTAGCGTTTCCATTACAAAAAAAAAAAAATTGAAATTGTTATTGAAAATTTCTAAATTTGATACTGATAAATTTGATGTGAAAGGATAGAAAACTTATTTGATTATTTATTTATAATAAAACTTTGAATTTTTGTTAATCCTATTAATTTTTTACAAATTAGTATTAAATAGTTTAATTAAAGAATAAAACTTACTTTAAAGCTGATATCGGCATCGCTCGAGTCACTATTAGTTGATTCACCGTAGTTGGAAGATGCTGTTGCTTTAACTTGTTCGTTTGAAGTAGTCTGAAAATATTTCCTAGCTTTACGACATTTCGTGCTTCGAGGAATTTTTCGATCTGCTGGAACACAGTTCGGCTCTAAATATCGCTTATAATATCGATTATAAGACATACTTTATGAGTTATATTTTATTTCAGCTAACACATAAAGACGCGATAATAACATTAAGAATTTTTGGAAAACAACTCGAGTATCGCTTTTTTTAGGTTTAACGTAGGTGGTGATGATGACGGGCTCTTTTGGAGCTCTTGGCTGTTTCTCACTTATAGCTTGCTTATCAATTATGGTAGTGAGAAGTGAATGGTTGGATCTATTTAACAGTATATGGATAGCCTTTTAAGAATTGAAATTTAAGGCTTAAAATTCATGATCATCTGAGGTGTCAGTGGCATGCATAAACTCAGGTGTGCCTCCTGCAGGATTTATAAATGCGCCTTATCTTTGAACTTACAGATTTTTTTTAAAATCATAATGTGAAACAAGAACACAGTGAAGAGACACTAGGGCATTTATAATCATTCATTTTATTTTACATTATATATTTAATTTAAACAATTTCAATGTTAATTAACAAGGAGTTAGTATTATTGAGATCGGAAGTTGGATTTTAGGTTGGTAGGTATTTTATTTACATCGTACTAGAGCTGCACAATAGGTTATTGACTACGGTTTGGGAAACATCCCTGAGGATGATCCGAAGACATGCCATCGCAAATTCGATCCTCTGCAGAAAAGATGTATCCTCTGCTTTGGTAGCCCAATGACCTGCGAGCGAAGTAGAGCGCCTTACGGTAGAATAGCAGCTTAACGAGGATCGATACCGTGCACCCTTTGTCCCTATACAAGTTGATCAAAGTTGTCACCTAACCTCTTATTTTCCGCAGTCAGCTGTGTTTCATTGAGAGCCGTGTCTTTACTATCAATCCACTGCGGAACTAGCGGATTTTAGAAAATTACACTTTTACCTACTTACCGCTTTGAAATGAAATTTATCTTCGACATATGAGAAAAGAGCTACTATCTTACAATAATTGTATCAAAGTTTCATTAAGGGTTGTTTTCAGTTGAAAAGAGAATAAAATATTATTATAAAATTATTTTTATCATAATTCATAGGATGCACAACTTTTTTAGACTATAGAACTGCGCAACGAAGTATTTAGTCATTTAAAAGTAAACATTAGTGTTTCAGACAAAAGTCTTTGTATCAGTTGTAGAATTCAGAAATTCTACAAGTTTTCGTTAACCTTTTAACGTTTTAAATCTCTTTTATTTTTGATAAACTTTAATACTTTTTCTTTCTTGTAAGAAATCAGTTTTTTTTAGATATTTAATTTAATTTGGGCAATTAACTTTTTCATAGTTAAATATATTTTATGTTTCTTTAATTAATAGTGAACAAGTTTCAGTTCATTTTTAAACATTTGTTCAGTTAATTTCTTTTTAAGCAGACAGGTGGCAGCATCAGTTCTACTGGATTGTAAAGATCCAAGTTTTTAATGTTACTTTCAGTTTAAGTTTTTTTTCTTCTGCTGATTTGATATGTTTTTGTAATTAAATTTTTGAGCTTGGTTAAATTGTTAAATGATTAAGTTATTTCACAACATATGCAAGTTATTTTTATTTTGTAATTATTTTTCGATTATTGTTAAAACAATAATATTATTTTTGAAAAATTATTTCTTTTTGTGAGTTTTGAGGTGTTGGCAATGGTGGCGTTTTGGAAAGTATATAAAAAGGAGTGTGCGCGGTGCTCTCTCTCTCTCGCTCGCTAGATCTCCTCGTTGATAGACGTCGTGCTCCACGGAATTTTGGCTGAAGGAAGAAAGCCACGTGGAATCCCATAGAAACGCGTGCCATGTGGGCACAGAAGCTTATGTAAAGAATAAGTTGTGTAAAAGGAAGATGAAACGACGAGCAAGATCTTGTTTGTTTTAACATCCAGATGAAGTGCCATCAAGTCCGTGCCAGAGGGCACGTGGTATGATTTCGTTTATTTTCTAATTGCCATAGTAATAGTTTCAATGCAGCTACTGGACGGTTATTTTCCATTTTACATCTAGTGAACTTTAAGTTTTACAAATTGTAAACCTTGCCAACCACCTTGCTTTTTAAAACCTAAAATTATATTCTTTATGCCTAATTTACCATGCTATTATCTACAATAAATACCTTTTTTTTTATCTTAATGATTGGAGTCACTTCTTAATGAAGTGATGGTTTTTCTTTTTCTATTTTGTTTAACATGTTATAGGTAATAAAAGGGGGGGGGTAGTTTTCTTTTCAGCAAATGTGTACTCTAAAGCTGAGGGTAAGTAAAGTTTTTTTTTTTTTTTTATAAATAAAACTAATTCTTTTGGCTTGAACCTTTTGGCAAATTTAATATTTCCTTTTTTGAGTAATGGTAATTTTTGTTTACACTATACGATCACTAAGATTGTTCATACTAATATTTATTTTGGCCTCAACTCTAATTGTACCAAAAATTTAATACTCACGGTGCAAAAATGGTGCCGTGACTTTTCTTTTTTTTAAAATTTACTTTCAGCATTTATTGTACACATGTATTTTTATTAAGAAGTGACTCAATTTGTGAGGGGTGACCAGGTTATGCCAGTTTGATTTTATTGAATTTGTATTATTGTACTATATTATTGTTTTAAATCATGAATACTGATGAGAATACTGATCCGTCTGGCCTTCCAAACGTAATTGCCAATATTATTCCAGTGGCTCGGACGGCTTCATCTCTTATGTCATTGCCAATTTTTAGGGGTGGGAACAGTGGTATGAAAATCAAAGAATTTTTGGCACGTTTGGAAGATTATGCAGTTCAGTTCAACTGGTCAGAAAGTGACAAATTATTTGCCCTACGAGATAGGTTATTTGATGAGGCAAGAGACCTCAGTGTGGAAATTTGGGAATCTGTTAAAACATATAAAGATTTAGCCCTTTTGAAAGCTTTTGGTGAGAAAATCTCTCCCTATCAAGCATTATTTGACTTTATGTCATTTAAACATGACATTAATACTCCTGTGGACAGATTTATTGCCCAATCAATTGAAAAAGTCAAAAAATTGGACTTAGGATGTGACCCTGCTATTGTAAAAATCCAACAGGAAAAAATGCTAATCAATATGCTAAAAACAAATCTGCATCCCCAAATTCTAAGAGGGGTCCTCTCAAAAAATCCCCTAACCTTAGAAGCTGTAAAATCAGCTGCCAAAATTGAAGAACAAGCCTTTTTGGCTGTTAAGAATGTGCAAAACCCATTTACAGCCCCTTTAAATGAGGTATACAGGGCTGAGGCCGTTCCGGCTCCTGCGGATGAGCTTGTTTCAATTTGTACAAAGCTTGCTGATCAGGTTGAGCAGCTAACTGCTAAAGTCAGCAAATCAGAATCAGAGACAAACAGATGCTATAGCTCTAGGAGAAACATAAAATGCTTCCGCTGCGGAAGAATGGGACACATCAGAAAATTTTGTCATGTTAAAATGAATGATCTTCAACAAGGTGCTTTAAACGAGTAGAGGGGGGGGGGGC